CTCTCTCTCTCTCTCTCTCTCTCTCCCTCTCTCTCTCTCTAGGAAGTATAGCGCGTTCTAAAACTCGCCATCTTTTGTACACGTGGCAAGGACTACTATACTGAGTATAGTAGTCCTTGACACGTGGATACCTTTTTGCATGCCTTTCTCGACGTGCTCATTACGGACGTCTTTAAATTACACCATAGTAGTTTCACGGGATGGCATCAATTATATAATATCTAAAGTAGAATAATTTTTGTAAATTTTCAGCCAGATTGACATACATAACTGGAACAACGGGGTCGAATCGTAAGCCAGATAGGACAAATTTGTTCTGAGGTAAGACGGGAGCTTTAACTTTCAGTAATTCCAAACCATCTGAGTAAGTCTACTCACCGGGCGTGCATGTCTTAGTCTGGTGGTTGTAGACAAAACCATGACAGTCCTGGTATCTCGATATGCACATCTTGGCGCACACAAGAGCAGAGGGTGATGACCAGGCACTTCCATAATTTGTCAGCCCCACAGGCCTGGGCGATGATCGCGAAAATGTTTGATGTCTCATCAAGCTGTGAGCGACTTCAACAGCTAAGTGGGAAAGAATAGAATAATTATATGAGGTTAGAGTAAATAAAGATGCACCAAGGTGCTGTCAAGCGAAACAGAGTACATTTCATAATACCATAATTGATTATAGCACAAGAATCAAACAGTAGCTGACCAATGTGATATTGCAGCTTACAAACTCTAATAGCCACACAAGTTTCGAGGTTCTAAGCAGAGTGAGGTCTGCATTCTTTTTCAAAAAAATTTTTTTTTAAGAATAATTATAATTCTTTGTTTCGATGAGGTTCCAGGTGCTCCACTTTTGAAATGACCTTCTTATAATAGTGGTTAATAGACAAAGACACAACACTTGAAAACTTAATAATATTTCTTTTTACAAATAACAGAACCAGTACTTCAGAACTATATACTTGTACATGAATACGCGAATACGTTCGGAAAAAGAAAAAAATAGCGACGGGTTGTATCAGGAATCTTTTTTGTACGTCATTAAAGATCGCGGTATGTTTTAGGTTAAGATAAAAGGTTCCATTGAAGATGGACTAATGATAAAATTAATTCGAATGACTTTCTTTTTGGCATAGTTATCTGAATAGCAGTGGGAATTGGAGATGGAGAATTTAATGTTGATAAGGATGCTCTGCAGAGTAAAGCAAGCTCATATATTTTGCAATCTAATATGCTCAAGTTATATTGCAGTCTAGACATAATTTGAAAGCTGCTAAATTTTCAGTCCCACTTTTAAGAAACCTTTTGTGGGAATATCATGCTCTGGCGGGTAGGATGTTGGCTTCTCTGTAGAAAGATCTCAGAATCGAAATTTGCCTGAAACGAAAAGATGTTCTCTTATATGTTCTCCTTTGTCCCATTTTCCTCTTTCACTACTCCTGTTCCATCAGCTTTCCTTTACACTCTCTCACCCCTAACCCCCCTCCCCCCACCCCTTGCCGACTCTGCTGCTGTTTCCTTTACTCCTGACTATTTATCCACTCACCTGATTTAAGGGCAGGTAAGTTCAAGATCGATCACTAAGCCTTCTAGGATAAGGATAAAAAATCTCGGATATTCTTTGCGCAGGTCGCACACGTGATCCCTTTGTGGTCCTAAAATCGATGTGAGCAGGCTTAGGCGCACCCAGGCAAAATTCAAAACTAAATCGTACCAAAGCTGAAAGTACCTTAGTCTTTGAAATCGGAATGGGGCTGCTTTAACTTTTCGAAATGGGAAAAATGGTCACATTCATAAAAATTAGCTGCACTGCAGGTTGAGGAATGCGAGGATCCCACAGGGGATCGCAAAGAAGAAGAAAAACGCTTTTGCTAATAGCATTATTAATCATTAGTAACGGGGTAACCCCATTTGGTTGCAGATGAGAGGAGAGCACACGAGAGAGTTCGGAGTTGGAATGCTCACAGTCTGTTGTGTCGTCATCTGGACAGAATCACACCTATGAGAACGAGTGGAACTATTGGCAGATCTCCTTTAAAATGCACACTACCACCAAAGGTCAACCCATTACTCTATAACCTGGTAAAAGAAGACAAATTCTAATTGATTTTTCAATGGAGTGTAGTTTACCTTTCAACAGAAATCTGTTGACTGTCAGGCCAGCAACAGAGAAATGTATAACACTGTGTGGACAAGTATCTGGAGAAAACCCTGCTCTTAATTGTTAGTTTAGTTTAGTTTTAGTAAAATTTGTATGGCACTTTAACACAAATAAGACATATAAGTGCCGAAGAATAGAAGTATTACCACTAGAGAGTAACATACAAAGAAAAGAATGGGGCGGGGGGCATAAGGACGATAGATGTTTAACAAGAAAAAAGGAGCAAACCACGCCAAAGCACCCACCAACCCTCCCTGCTCCTTAGTCTGGTGGGGTCTTCCTGTCAAATTAATAGAAAATACTATGCATCTTATCGTTGTAAAATTGCAAGACAAACGCTCCTCTGTGCCAAGTGTCAACAGACAGAAAATCCGATTACTGCCTGCTTGTGGTTGGGGGGCGCCGCTTTCAGGCCATATTATTTTTTCTTCTTTCCAGCCGTGGTTTCTGTTTGTCTTTTCCCTTGCGCTGTCATAGTAACCATCAACGTGTCGATGTACTTCTCTCTGTTCAAACGAAACTTATTTCTAAAAATTCTCTCTTTAAAAACAATGTTAAAAAACTCAGATAACTGAATCTCTTGACTCATACCAATGTGAAGAACAGAGTAACTAAATTATTAGATAAATTATTGAAGAACATTGACAGTTATCCCTTCTAATTTGGAAAAATATGCACATTATATTACGTTTAAAGCCCCTCAGTACTGACAACATAAACATCATAATTTTGTTATGAAAGTATACACCCGAGCTTCATACTTTTCAAACTGCCATGATCGTTGAGGCAGAACAGGTGACTTGGAACCAGTCATCCTCCTTTCCCCCTATTGCTCTCAGTGCGACTTTCAGCCTCAGGCCTGTTCATCTTAGACGTTGTGCATCCATCTCTCCCTCTGCCTGCATCTCTTTCTTCCTGCTTCAACTGTGTCTTTCCAAATGTGTCTTGGTAAACCCTTTGTCATTGTGTAATTCACAGTCACCTCTAAAGTTTTGGGCTGCTTCATCGTTGTCAATTTTCATACAGCAGCCCATCATTGGTAAGTCACCAATGGTGACATGATGAGAGATATCTAGCAGTTCACGAAAGTATTTAATTAATAAAGTAGATCTACTTATCCTCCGCTGTTAGTGTCAACTACGAAAGGCACACTCAGTTATTGAGGTGACCGAGAATCGTTCCAGTTTGATCAAAGTTCGGCGTTCTTATCTGTCCTTGATTTTCTATTTCTCTGAACAGTCATAGAATGTTTTTTCTGTATCGTACCCTTTATCAGTTAAGTAACCATTGCTTCCAAGTATTTTGACCTTTAGCTGTTTCCAGTTTCATACCCCTGATTTTAATACCTGAGTAAATGTCCGTATTGTTATTTATCTTTAACTTGATCTTCGTATGTTGTGGACCGTCGACGTTTTGTTAAAACGGTTGCAGACTGGGGGGCTCTTCTTCTTTCCCTAATAGGCAGTCAAGCAATGTATTGTTGTCATCAAACGTATGTGGATGATTTTCCAGTCCCCAGTTTTGACGGTTCCTCTTTGGTCTCTCAGAGAGTCAGCCCCAATTCTCCCTCAACGAGTTGTTGAGAGACACCAGGCTTGCTTTTTCTTCGGCTGCTGTGTTGGAAGTCCCCTCTGCTGCTGTTGAAAACGATAGCACTGTTTGGCTTAATGTGAGGGTGCTTTTTAACTCTCGCTACACAAGGCTTGTTGTTGCGAGCGCAGGGTCATGTGTTTAAGCAAACATTACCATTAAGAAAAATATCTGATGTCCATAACGTACTCATATAATGTTGTCTCGGAGAGAAGAATTATAACAAAAAAGGTGAAGAAATTAGAAAACTGTCTGCAAGCGGGAAAGAGGGCGACCAAAGATACTGGAAAAATATACGTTGCAGTTTTATCCATTGTTGGCGGCTTAAGAATGCGAATAAGGCAGGTCACGGAGCGGTTTGATTTTTAGACTAAACACTTTTATCTGACACAGTGATACCTTCAAGGTTGCTCATTTTCTCAGCTGGGAATTCTTTAATCTCGTGTTTTCTTGGGATACTCAGGACAACCGTTTCTAACAGGAAGTGAGGATTCTCATAGACTGGACGTTAACAATCTCCCGCAGTAAAACGTCTTGCGAGATAGGTTTCATGAATTCAGTAGACATGCTTTGTTTTAACAACCAACGTACTCGAGGATTTATTTTTTAGATCTAAATATTCTTGCCGTCCATCAAAATGAGAAGTGTTTCACAAAGCACGTTTCCTTTAATTAAGTTGTGGATACATCAGGCATGGATATAAAAGGTAGGAATAACAATAATAGTACTAATAAAAATAGTAGTGCTGAAGACATGGATAATATGCTACTACTACTATAATTACTACTACTACTACTACTACTACTACTACTACTACTACTACTACTACTACTACTACTACTACTACTACTACTACTACTACTACTACTACTACTACTACTACTACTACTACTACTATTAATAATAATAACAATAACAGTAACAATAATAATAATAAGAGTAATGAAAACAATAACAATATTGACAATAAAACAGTAACAATAACAATAGCACTAACAAAAATAATAACAACAACAACAACAGCAAGAACAACAAAAACAACGACAATAATAATGATAATAATAATAAAAATAATAATCATAATCATAATCATAATCGTAATCATAATAAATAATCATAATCATAATCATAATAATCATAATAATACTAATATATTAATAACACTGTCTTCTTTTCAAACATTCATTTAACCCCCCGCCCACATCACCCCCCCCCCCTTCCACACACACACACACACTTTGCAACCTTGTTTTTGAACTTCCTTTTTCCAGTGCAAACACTCTTCATGAACACAGATGGAAATCTGAGAATGTCGATTTATCGACTAGTCAACAATATATGCCTAACGATTAATGGTCTCCTAAAAGCGTGTTAAGCAAGAGGAGCTACACTGAAGTGTAAAGCTAGCACACTGCCGTGCACCAAACCATCCCGCTCTCAAAATCACATGGTATGATGTAATTCCATCCCGACGAAATCAAGTCTTAAACTACCAGTACTTTTATAAAAGTTGGTCTCTGGCAGTAAATCGAATCTTACAAAGCTAATAATTGCATTACAATATTTTGGTGGCTGCGCAGCTTCTCGTGGCTGTTTCTTCTTCGCTCTCCATTGTTGCTGGAGATCTCATAATTCCCCGGTTTGCTTAATTAAGTAGGCTCAAAACCTGTTGGCTGAAAAGCAGGCTAGAACGCGTTTTTTAATATACATTCTATTCGGGCTGTTTAGAAAAGTATTCTTTTAAAAATGCCTAGCCCAGAATAGTTTCTGATGTTTCTGTTACGAAGCCTGAACAATGCCCAAATTATGATTAAGGTTTCACGTCGACTATCCGAAACATAATTATTATTCAACCCATGGAGCAGTGCCTCAGTGCTGCAGGGACAAATAAAAACATAAAAAGAAATAAAGGTAGAAAGAAAAAGTGACGTGTTTGATCGAGCACAGTATTTTGACGAAACCGTGTAAAAAGAGCAAGGTCGTGGTTTTTGAACCAGCTAAGCAAAATAACTTTCCTTGAAAGCCGTGTTTTATGTGCCAGAGGTATTAAATCAATACGAAGTTGAGGCCAAAGTCAAGAACGAAAGAAAGGGACGGATACAAATAATAGAGAACGAGCGAGAGAGAGTGAGAGAGAGGGGGGGGTGGAGAAAAAGAGAAAGAAAGGGAGAGAGAGAGAGAGAGAGAGAGAGAGAGAGAGAGAGAGAGAGAGAGAGAG